CAATAGAATATTAAATGTAGAATGAGAAGAACAATTAATAGGAAGAAGAAAATAAGGGGGGAGGGGATGAAAGAAGAAGAAGAATCAATAGAAGGGAAAGAATAATGGGGAAGAGAGAGCTTTCACCACAAGCCACCAATAATTTTATTCAATTATCAACTAATGAAATTACATGGAAAAGTAAGTTTAAATAGTAAACCAAACCCTAACTAGAATGAGCTTGGGCCAATACAAGCCCAATAAAAAATTCACAACAAAATAAAGCCTACAAAAATGAAATAAAGTTCGACTAGAAATAAATAAATAAATTGGATGTCCTCATCACATACATTGACCACTTATGACGTCATTCAATTAATTTTGCCCAATCACTTGTTGAAAATATTCTCATTTATTATCTTATCCATTCTAAAATAGCCATACATCCATCTTAAATCATCTCCCTCATGTTTGTCTAATGGAAAATTTACTTGCCTTTTAACTTGACAGGTATCTTCTGATCACGAGGAATCCATGCACATTTTTCCATTTCATCCAACCTACTCTCTCATGCATTGTAAAAGTATACACAAAACAATCAGAATTCAAACACCACAATTCTTGATAGTAACTTCACATCTGTCCTTACTTTTTTACCACTGTCAAAACCTACTACATATCCAGCTCAGTTTTACTTAAAAGGTAAAAATGTTGGAATCCAAGTGCTTCTCAAAGTTCCAACTTCCAATTTATCCCTTGTTCATTTCATTAACTAAAACTATGTAACCAACAAATAACCTACCGGGGGGACCTCATCTTGAAATTGTCTCATTAGCCATCCATGACAAAAGCAAAAGGGACAAGGACTCAGGAGTCAGGGTAGACATTTGATACATATCCATAGTAATAGGAAATTTTCTAATTTTTACTCACACTAGATGTCACAACTGAAACTGCTTTATGATGCATATCTTAAATAATATTGACACATGAAGTAGAAATTCCTTTTTCTTTGGCACACACCACAACATGTCATCTAGCACCATACCAAATTCTTTTTCAAATTAATAAAAAAAACATCCAATCTGATTTCTTTTCTACTTTTCTATGGTTCTCCCAAGTACTAAAATGGCTTCTACAATAGATCTCCTTGGTATAAACCCAAATTTATAGAACCTAAAATTACACTTGTAAAATCCTCTCCCAAGGTTTTAAAGTATGACTGATGAACTCAACGCCTCTATAATTCATATAATTATGAGCATCTCCTTTAAACTTATTACTGCTCACCCTTCTGACCACCATGCATCCTTTTACTTTTTAGAATCTCATCAAATAATTCTGTCAAGCATAAAAGACCCATGTTGCCCAGACACTTGAGGACTATATGGATCAATTGTTATCCTGATTTTCATCCTCATAATAGCTCTTACTTCCAAGAATCAAAATTTTCTGTTATAGCTAATATTTTTACTTCAATGGTGTTTAAGAAATCTACAAGATGTGTGCTGTGCCTTCTATGAAATAATTTGTCAATTAATTTCTCTTAACATTTTCTGATCTCATTACTTTGAAATTGTAACTCTTTGAATGTTGTCATTTGACACTTTAAAGGATTATGACCTCTACTTCTCTTTTCCTTTATCGAGATATCTCATAAAGGATTTTCTCTTCATCCTGGTTCCACAATGACTATACTTCTTATACACTTCCACTTGGGACTAGTGAATCATTCAAAAAGAAATGCACAACAATCATACCAAGGTTACAGTATAGATAGTACCTATACGGATCCATGCCCGTTGCAGAAAATGCGGCCAGTGCTTTGGAAATAATATCGTTGACAGCCCAACGCAAATTTCTAGACAAGTAGCGTCCTTGCGAAGCAAAGCATATCACAAATTTCATATCCAAGTAGAACTGCAGCCAATACATGTAAAGAAAAGATGGTTATAATAGCATGGCAATCATAGGGCAGAGTCACAAATAAATATCAATTTACAAACCTGTTGAAGACCTAGAGGGCCTAAAGGCCTTGGTCCTTCCTCAATATCATCCTAAAACGTCTGGTCTTCTGAAAGCCATAAGATAACCGTCTCTGTGAGCCTCATCAATAACAACATTGCAAATCTTTCTCGGCTTACAAACATATCTGCTGCCATCGCAGCCATCCTATTCAACTTTGCATAAAGTTCCTGACAGCAGACGAAATAGATATTGTTAGATATACAATCTGTACTATAAACATTACAAGTTGTATTACAATTTACGAGAACATCTTAGCATAGGAACGAGAAAGAAATGAAAAAGAAAACAAGGAGTGTAGAAAATTATAATTTGATTTGAATTACCATTAACAGATTGTATACGGACATTGCAATGTAGCTGTTAAGCTGCTTAACCCCTAAAAGGTCAAAGACTTTAATGAAAGAACTAAGTGCCATCTTTTACAAGCAATAGAGATGACGAAGAACAAGCTACATGATATTGAGACAAAGAAAATACAACGTGGCTCCAGATCTTAAGCTGTTTAACCTTGTAAAAGTCTAAGATACTAAAGAAGGAAACAAATGTTGACTTTTAAAAGGATGAGTACGTACAAGCAACATGATACAAGACAAAATTATAGGAATACCGAACAAGAAGATCCACATCGCTATAATATTGACAATAGAAGATCAAAAGATAGTGATAGCATAAGATGTAAACAATGCAGCCAACATATTTACATTTAACAAAAAAAAAAAAAAAAAAAAAACCAGGAA